GGGACCTGAATGCTAATCCCTACAACCTCGAGCTCGGGGTACGTACTTGGCTTCAATTGAAAACACTCATCGAAGCCACCATGCGCAAGTCGGTAGTTCTCTCAATTAGGGTCCCTTTTCAGGTCCCCAATATAGGACGGCACCCTTATAGACAGGATCCAAAAGGGACCCCAATTGAGAAAACTACCCAAGTGAAGACATCGCACCAGCAACACAAACCCTGTGCATCAAGACCTGGCATCCCTCTTATAGGGGGTTGCTATTTAGGGTTCAGGCTGTTTAGGGCCTACGGCACGGGATTGGGGAGTTTGGGGGTTTAGGGTTTAGGTTTGAGTGTTCAGACCCTAAACCCTTTTGCAGCAGGCTTCTCTCGCCCGGAACTGCCGTCGCCGTGAAGCAAGACCCTAAACCCTAAACCCTAAACACTTCAAGGTTTGCAGGTTTCGGGTGCCGTCGAGCTCTGAGACTCTGAGTTCAGGGGCGTCAGTTTAGGGTTTAAAGTTTCGGGGCTTCAGGATTCCTGAACTTAGGGATTTTTGCCGGGTTCTGGGTTTAGGGGTTTAGGGTTTCGGGACCCTAAACCCCAAACCCTTCAGATGGTTTCAGGAAACTTGGGGTGTAACTCCATGAGCCCCAACCCAAACGACCCGGCTCCTGTGGCCAGGGCCTCGCGCGCCTTCGTGCAGTCCCCCTCCCCGGTCTTGTGGGTGTTTCAAACCCCTTTTTGAAACCCCTAAACCCTAAACCCTAACCCCTTTTGCCTTTTGCATCCAGGACTCAAGCCCTAACCCCTAAACCCCTAAACCCCTAAACCCTAAACCCTAAACCCTAACCCCTAAACCCTGCCTCGCAAGAGGAGTCTTGGGCTTCATGGTGTCCGGGGGCTCTCAAACCAGGCTCTGGGCTCACTTCGGCCATTTTTAGGGTTTCGGGTGATCCAGGGATCTGAGGGCCTGAATGATTCGACTCGGCTTAGGGCGTTTAGGGTTTAGGGTACATATTGCAGTTTACCTTTCCTTGCGACCAGAAGGGGAGCATAGTACAAGTTGCTGCGATCCAAATCTTACACATGGTCTTCGCCACTTAGAACACCCAGAAGGTCTGCAACTGAAGGAGGCAGCACGACGGGACCTGAAAACGCAAACCCTGACCCATATGATTTACGGCTTCAGGGTTTAGATTTAGTGAAAAACATGTAGAGGCCATAATGATTACAATAGGGTTTTGGTGTATAATATACTATAATTACAACAAAGATTCCCCAAAATAATATAGGTAATTCTTAAGGCCCCTACATTACCCTAAACCCGAAACCCTCTGCTGCGAGCCTGCTTCGGGCGTCGCTTGCGCTTGGCGTCATCGGTTGGGCAGACGTGGCAGTGGAAGCAGTCCTTCGCGGTAAGTGCTTTCTACGGCTTAGCACCCGAAACCCTAAACCCTAAAGTTGAAAGAGCAGGCATCAGGTTCCAGCGCTTGAAATGTTGAGTTCATGTACCTGAACCAGCAGGGACCCACCTTAATTTCGTAAGGTCTGAAACTGAATATAAGCCCTCATAACTTTTTCAGGCAAGGTTCCATGTCTAGGGTTCACAAATGATACACGAAGGGCTTAGCCATTGGAAAAGAGCCGCTGGTGTATTTTAGACCACCATAGCAAGCAAGAAAACAATATTCATTGGGCGTTTATGTAACTTGGGTTCGGCCCAAGCAGTCTGAAGCTGCGGGAGGTCATGGAGCAAAGCGGCGGCTCTGTCCTGGGCCTTCTGAAGAACTCTCAACCCTAGCCTCTAAACCTTTACTATAGGGGCCTTCATAGCTAGAATAGGGTCTTGGGGTATATCATACGATTATTATTATAAGGAGCCACCAAAATACTATAGGTAATTATGTAGGCTTCTATATTAGAACCACCAGAAACTTCGTGGACTCCCCAATCCGGAAATTCTCACGAAACTCTCGTAGAAACATGGTTCTAACCCTCAAATCAACTTTTGTCAGAACCAGTCTCGGCATCCTTTTAGAAACCCTCTAGGGGACCCGTACAGGAACCTTCGGAAAAAACCTGAACCAAAGTCGTGAAAGTAAGCGTCTCGCCTCGCCACGGGAGCATCTGCCTTTCCAAAAGCTGGCGCAAGGCCTTCGCCGCTCTTCTCAACCCACGAACCCGTCAAGCCCTCCAAGCCGTCAAACGAAATGCGAAGCTTTTTTTCAAAGCAAGATGCCAAGGTTCTCTGTTTCTGCCTAAAGCCCTAGAAGGCCTCAAATAATTGTGTATATATACACACACACACACATAAGCACGTGCTTTGTTTATTCAATTTGCGTTATGATGTATTCGCTCATTTTATAGTGTACATGCTGATATTTATATTCTTGTATATGTATACACACACATGTATGTATATATATATATGCA